AAGTTTAATTGTATTGCTATGAAATACTGGCATTTTAAAATTTTATATAGCTAAGGAAACTTACCACAAATAAAATCAATTGTGCACAAGTGAACAGGTACAAATAGATCAACGTCGCACCCCGAGCCGGAGTGTTTCTCAAGCCGTTCAACAAATGTTTTCGTGTGATAACTGAAACTGTCACCAAAAGATGCCAGTACGTTTGTTCGGAAGCTTGGGTTCACAATTTTACGTATTTGCCGCCAAGATTCTCCTGTAAGAACATTTGTCCAGTTTTTAAGTGGGCGCGCAATAGCATTGGCGGATTCAGAAAATTGGCAATATTGTATTTTCTTCATTGAAACCTATGGATATGTATCGATTCTTGGAGGGGTTAGGTGCTTCAACAAGAATCGATTATTTATCATAGGTTTAAATGGAAGAAATCCGGTGTTGCCAAATTGCTGGATCCGCCAATATGCGCGCAATACAAGTTCGGAAATTAATGAATTGAGGCCATGTGTTCTCTATGAGATGACCATGGATATTTAAGGTGAGAGAGGGCCTCAAGCTAGCTATTTTTAAAAGACTTAGAAAATAAAGGTTGATAGGTATCAAAATTAAGATTATGCATGGAGAGTTTTTGAAAAAGAACCACTGAAATGAGAACGCATGGTGTTTTGTCTGATGCAGATTGTATCACAAGAAAGGTGTAATGGGTCCATAAAATGTTTTAACCCTTTATTGCATAGCGTTGCATGAAACCAACAAATGGTTTTCAGCTTTATTTCTATGCTGGAGTATTACATTGAATTAAAGCAAGAAATGATTTTTTGGGAGCTTTATCAGTCTGATCTCCTAACTTTAAAAGAAACTACAAAGATCGATTCCAAGTGACTCTATTGTCGAAAAAGTACTGTACAAAGTAGATTTTCTGTCCAAAATCAACGATTTGCTCATGCAACAAAGGGTTGACTTTCTTTAGTAACTGTAGTATCTTACAAATATACTTTGACGAAAAGAAAAATAAATTTTTTTTACCATTTAAGCAAAAGATACCCATTCCGTGAGATTTGAAAAAGTGGTAAGCTTCTGTTTTTGTTGTATTCTGGTTACTGCTCAAGAGTGCCTGAAAATTCAACAAGCAGTACACTAAGCAATGTAGCAATCAATAGTGTTTCATAATATGTTTGAACCATAAGTATTTTTTTTTTATTTTGAATAAAGTACTTCTCGATCTTAATTTTAATATATTTAGTGCTTTTTAAAGGTAGAATTCCCCTCCCCCACATTTGAGTGTATCTTTTCACGAAAAAATTTCAAAATTCTAATTAATCTCATCCCTCTCCTGAGCCCCTTTATCATAACAATGTTATGTATTCTGCAAGCCTTTAACTTGTTTCAGTTTTGTCGGTGGCGAACCCATTTCATTCTACAAGAGATCTGACTGGGTTTTCAAAACCTCTTGACCTAGAGCTCCACTCCTTCAGCGTTCATCATAATCTTTCCCCTCAAAGATTACATGGTGGGAAATAACAAATAAAAAGCCACAGCATCGGTGCAACTTACATTGAAAATCTTTATATCTCCAGTTATAAGCCACGGATCCTTTCCTAACCAGTAGCCGGCGTTCGGGTATTTGTCCATCTGCTCTCGCAGGACATCGTATAAATCTGAAGACAGATTAAAAATGACATTTGTCACATTTAAAAAAGAGATCATTTTTTGAAATTTAAAGTGATTATTGTGGGTTTTGTTCATTGGCTAGGATCATTTTAAAATTAGTAGAGATTCGAGAGCATCAAGGGAAGACAATGTTGAAAATAACAGGACCTGTGAAATAAGTAATTAAAACAGATTTGTAAGATGACTTGGGAGTACGCCCCCTGATCTTTCCACGGTCCAACCCCCCCACCCCGAAGCGCTTCGCGCCTAAGATTTTATGTGTTACTCTCATGATTTTAAATTCTATAAAAATAATAATTACGCGCATATATAGCATTCATTTTCCAAGCTGTCTGTTTTTATATTTTGTGTATTTCAAAAGTAAACTATGAAACAAAATAAAGCTCATTGTCAGTGTGTCTCTGCACCACAGTGTGCACTTACTAGAACATGTTATGTACTTACTATCGGAGTTGATTTTTAACACGAAATACGCATTCCCGAATAATGGGATCGAGACTGGACCGGGTACTGATGCCATAAATTTGTGAATCTTCCTGTTCCTCCACCTCTGGATGAGATATGTGATTAGAAGTACTGATAAAACAACAGCCAGAAGTATCGCTGTCATATTCGAAGAGACAATTGTTGAATAAGACTGCATCTGTCAAAAATAATCATGAAAAGACTTTACTTTTGAAGACTTGAAGATGTGAGATAAATTCTAGCTGGTTACACTGACCAAGGGTCATCTCCAAATGTTGATGATGGTACCCCCTAAATCGTTGACCCCACTTATAAAAATAATATTTCACTAAGGAGAAAAATTCTAAAACATTTTTTAAGGGTTAATTGTGCACGGCCAAAAACCACCCCCCCCCCCCGGCTTTGGGCCAAATTCTACATTTTGACGATTTTTTTACACCATTAGAATTGAGCTAAAGCTTTACAAATTTCACACGGAGAGTATATGTTAGGATCGATACTTTAAAGAAAAACTATTTTTCACGTCATCATGATGCGTTCCCATGCGTTTTGCTATACTTCGTCAAATTTTCAAGGACCGCAAATTGTACAAAATTTCGTTCAAGTCCTGTACACGCACGAACTAATTCTTGAGAAATATTTACGACACTTCAAAAACTGTTGATATTTGTACCTTTTTGTAAGTAAAAATACCAATGCAAGAAGCGCTCCGTTGTATTCTATCTTTAATAGATGTAATTGAATATTTGCAATGATTTGATTACACCGAAAGGGGCTTCCCACACCATATTGTAAACACGCTTCTATTCCGAATCGACTTAAACAGCGAAAAATGTAGTATACTGTACCTATGTTGTGCGCATTTGCACCTTCGCGACATTGAACAGGTCATTAGTTTGGTGCATGACAAGTCGTTAAAAAGAATAATACGTACTTGTATTAGTAACACACGTTTAATTGTGTAACAAGTTATAAAATAACAATAATTAATGATTTTTAACGTGCCAGTAGAAAGTTACGATTGCGGGCGAAGAGAAAAATGTCTGCAATCAAATGTGTGTCGAAGTTCAAACTGCGCAAAACTGTGCATGCCTCTTTTAATGGCTCAGAAAAATTCTAAATTACACACTGACCGGCAATGTTTTCGGGGCGGAAAAATTCGGGGACACTACGCAGCGAAGTTTAAGAAAATTATCCACGTTTCTCAGACTTTGTTTTCCGCGACGCGTCCCTCGCGCGGAAGGACCAGCTGCCAGCCGTCCATCCGCAATTTCGATCTGAATTCAACTTTATAAATAGATTAATGATGATGACGATGATGATAACTCAGCTGATTTCATTTCTTTTAAACAAAAGCTTCATGTTGTTAGTCTTTGCACACGAATAACCAGAAAAGCGCGGGTATTTTACCTCACTGCAACAAAAAATATGACATGGAAGCACCTGTTTGTCAGCTTAGTAAATTAACGTGACCCTCCGCGAGAAGAGGGACCTTCCACTCATTGTTGCCAGATTGTGCAGAAAATTCAGCACATTTCTCTGTTCAACTCAATGTTAAATATCCATATTTTTTCACACAATATGGTAATTGATTGAAAATCGAGTTACAAGCCCAACAGAAACTAAACAAGTAATATTTCAAACTAGATGGAGATGAGAAATAATAAAAAACTTACAAGAACTTTCTCATCTGCATGTATTTTTAAATATTACTTGTCTAATTTATTTTCGGCTTGTAGCTCGATTTTGTCAGTCAATTACCATGTTCTATGCAGCATAGCCAGCCAAATTTGGCATTAAAATGTCTTTTCACACAATCTTGCAACCTTGATTTGACTTAAGTACCCGCGGCCAAATTTTAAGGATGTTGTCAAAAAATTGAAATTTGTACCACTCCCTCCCCCACACACCCTCCCTTACACATAAAATCACACTTTCCAGTGTCGTATAAAACAAATGGCCGGTGACTTAGCCCAATTTTGTGCCAAAAACAACCATAAAGTTGCATTATAATCCAACAATTTTGAATTCCAGGCAAGCCACAAAAAAGTTTTAAAATAATATTTTTTTGAAACTTTGTCTCAAATATTTCTCTCAAACATGCTTTCTTCGACCTCCGATTACTTAGAGGTTATGACGTCTGCCCTATGATCAAAAAGTTCCGGGTTATATTCTTGTTTAGACGGCTTGCGATTATAGTCTCAAGCAAGGGACGTTTGGGTTTGTTTGATGAACAGGGACTTAGCAGCCTGTATGTAGATCCAAATGAGAGGTTAGTGCACAGAGGCCTCTGAATGTAAAGGAGACAGAAGTAAGTACACCTTGCTACTTATAGAAAGAATTATGTTTCCTCACTGTAAACTTCAAATTATCAAAATTCCGATTGGATTTGGAATGTATTTTTATAATAAATTGCTTTTTTTGTTTGCAAACATGCAAAAAATTTCTTTTCAATGTAGTAAAGCTTAACCTGAGCTAAATATAGCTTCTTCAAAGTAAATTTCGTGTAAAGCAAAATAAATGAAGAGAGTTTTCAGAACGATAACATGCGACAGCTTTCGAATATGGGATTCTGCGCAAGGTTAATACTTTGCGGCAGTACCCTATATCTTCGCAAGAGAGTGCTCATGCTAAAGTGCTGACAATTTGCATTTCGGCCTCGTTATGAACAAAATTTGCGCAAATAAATTCTACTTTTAAAGGTCACTCAAGGGGCCCACATTGTAACCGAGCAGATTTCTAAGAGGCTCTTAAGTTACTTTCATCAAAAGGACAATTTTTCCGAACATCAAATGAAATTCAACAGTATAACTTCGAAAGTAGATTTATGTAAGCGATTACAATAAATTACCAGAATAAAAAATGTATAATTAAGAAGGAAAAATAATTAAAGTTTTCGCAGATTTTCAGGTAATCCGCACCTTCCTCTATTGAAGTTTTTTGAAATTATGACATTTTTTTGTATTTGTATTTTTTTTTTTTTTAGGAAAATTTTTATAATACCTTGCAAGGATCCATTTCCAAAGTTACGCTGTTGAATTTCCCTCCTAGGAAATTGTCTTTGTTGTGCGATGCTACGTTAAGTGCCTTCAAGAACCTCCCCTAATGCAATAAGTAGGAATTTTTTAGTCAAAGTGCGTTAAAAATCCAGAAAACCCAATGGTAATGTAAACTCTGTAACTGGTAATGGTAATGGAAACTCCCTAATGGTGATGTAAATCATATGGGCCCTTCTTAAAGGAGGTTTTTAAAAAAATAAAAAAAAAGACTAACACCGTGAGTCCTGTCGCCTTATGTGCGCGGTGTTTTCTCACACTTTTTAAGCGATGCATGAATAAGAATAGAGTAAATTACCTTTGTGATCACGAACACAAGTGAAGATAATCCAATAGTGAAGGGCGATAATCTTATTTAGTCAACACTACCACCAACGAACCAACTTACACCTTGCTCGAGACACGAACGAACTGTGCTCGAATCAACCGCAGGTGCTCTTTTCTATACTGGACTAAATTTTTTTTCTGCCCGAAATCAAGTCCTATAAATGAGGTAACGAGCTTGCTAGACGCAGACGACAGAACCGTTTGCTATGATATATGATTTTTTTTTCTCGTTTTTACAGCTTAAAAAAATTTATGCTCGCCAAAAATGCGGATGGTCGCACAAGACGGAGCGTTCGAGTTGCTGGACAAGAACTTGAACTAGAGTGAACGGCGGTCATTGTCGTCAAGATTAAGATTAGTTTTTTTTAAGTTTGTTATCAAACAAACCTGGTTTATGCGTGAGACGGTACCGTTAAGTATTTACACAAACGTTAGTCTATTCTGCCATGCCAAAGAAAAACGCCGTATGAACCTTCAGGCGTTGCCAAATTTCCGTTGAGAAAACCCGAATTTCTTGGTAAATTTATGGAAATTTTCACAAATCCAATTTTCGAAATTGTCAAATCAAAGACTGCGGATGAGGCCAAAATTGCTGTTTTAGCTTCTGAAATCGATAAATTAATTTTTCTCACCTTGGCTAATCTCCTCTTACATGAATCATAATTAATTTTTGTTAAACTTGGTCTCGTTGTCTTCAGTAGATTATGAGTTGTGCTTAAACTCTCTCATAGGTTCAGATTAACGTTTACTTTATTTGCGGCTGACCGTAAATCAACCAAACGCAAGCTGTGATGACAGAAGTTGCTTTGAACTACGAGAAATATCGATAAGTTTGAATCAATTTTTTTAAAATTATTTTGTCTATATCTTGCGTTTTCCCGATAGTAGTAGTGCTGAAGACAGGAGAAACTTTAAATTAATGTCAATAAATTTTACTTGACATCGATTATTTGGGATATCATTTTATTTTTTGCGACGAATGTTTATATATTTAGCTTTGCAGCTCATATTTACATGGAAAATTTTTTTTGGCACCATATTCTCCATAGCTTCCCTCTATTAGTAAGTTCAAGTTGTCACTCAACGATTAAACTTTCTTTTTCTCCCAAAAATCGTCGGTTAAATTAGGATTATTCATGATCATGCCGCGCTTATCCAACACCTCGTGTTGGACTCTCCTGCTTGTTTTAAATTGTAAAATCGATCAATCATTTCGATTCAACGACCCGGTTACCCATGTGACGACATTCACCTTGGTCCCCGACAACTGTGCGACAGTGGCGTGGTTTGCTTTGCAATGTATCGATTTTTATGTCATTTAAACCTATGGAAAAGGATCGATAGACAGGGTGTTCGCAGCGAACACCTTAACAATCGATTCTTTACCATAGGTTTAAGTGGCAGAGCAATCAACACATCGCAATTCACGCCACGCTACTGCTGTGCGACGAAGAGCGCGGAGTTAATGTGCCACCTAATGACCTATTTTTTCAACGCACCCAGGTAAATGATAGGCTGTTATTCCAACCGCTTCAACTATAAAATTTTTTTTGCAGCATGCGGCCGGTCTTCTGATGTAACAAATTAACGGTAATCTTGACGAATAAATCGGGACTTGACTTCAATAACCGCATAAGAGATGACGTCAACATGTAGTAGCATCCATCTATCGATCCAATTTTACTGCAAGACAATTCGATAAGGAAATAACCGCGATGTGTGACCCATTCCTTGTGCAGCGGTCAGCAAACCCATAGAACCAATGGTAGCCGCTCAGGTCTAATATTTGAAAAGACCGCTACTCCATTCGAACGAAGGACACCTGCTATACACGCGTGTTTTTTTAGGTAGGAAAGATAACTCTGACGATTATGACGCAGTTATTATTCAATTCTGCGTGGACTTGTCTGGATGACAAGTTACTTTTATATTTTTCGTTTTTTTATTGGCTCGTTTCCTATGAGAAAAAATGCGCTCTGCCGACGGCATATTGTACAGTACTCGTCATATTTTGCTCATAATTGCCTACATCATGATAAAAGATAAACACCTATGTTTTAAGGTGATTTGGACTACATTTTACAATTTGGAACTATGAAGTCTAGCCCGGTTTAAAAACAACGTATGTGCCATTAGTTTCCCTATGCACATAAGTGTTTTTCCAGAAGAGCCAGAATTTATGGTTCCAAATTGCAAAATGCGATCCATTTGATGGACATTATATTTTGTGTCAGAACGACGTAATGTATCGCATCAATTAGTTAAATTTTTTCAGCTACTTGTCATTTTTCTCGAATTTTGAAATCGCAATTCTGTTGTCAGGAGACTAAAGAATTCACTAACCAATTTCGACAAAACTAATTCAACGTAATAAAGGCATGGTTTTTTTTAGAGAGAAAATAATATAGCATTCAATACTGATATCGAAACTGCAATCAAATGCAATGTTTTTTCTTTCTAAAAAACCATGCCTTTATTACGTTGAATTTGTTTGTCAAAATTGGTAAGTGAATTTTTTAGTTTCCTGACAACAAAATTGCGATCTCAAAATTCGAGAAAAATTACAAGCAGCTGAAAGAGTGGAGCCAATCGATGCGATATATCTCATATCCTTTTTACAAAAAATATGGCGTCCATCGAATCACTTTACGTCTAGGCCACTGATGCCGAAGTAGAAAGGAGCCAAATACATGAATTACTGTAGTAGTATCACACCCATTTGTATATAAGAATCAATGGCAAATATATTGCCAGAAAACAAGCCTTTAAGGGCTTCTAGCGGAGACTTTAAGGAATGGGGTTTAACGCCTGTTCCTTTTTACTACGATAGGTAAAAATGGCTGATAGCCACCGAAGACAATTTTAAAATCATACGAAAAATTCAACAAGGTATAGCACCTGAAATACTTATTTCGGAGCTTTAAATTTGTTTTAAAATTCAGGAACCCTGGTAAAAATTGGCAGTAGAATCTGTGTTCCAAAATACCATGACCTACAGCCGGCTATAAGATTTCCAATAGCTTCTATAGACGGCAACACAATTTCTTATAGCCTTTTATAGTCGATGGCGACTAAGCAACAGCCTGGCGATATAGTGTATGCTGAACGTTACTAATTACGGAAGCTAGGACTTAGTGAGTTTTTGGACTACCGCTCTCTTTTTGGGCCGTAGTATCTTGATTTATTTTGCGAGGAAAGCTCCGTACTTTTGAAGGATGCCTGCCATTCCTAATGTGTTGGAGCGTCTTCAATGCCGTATGATACTGTCTGTGCATTACCTCTGGTGTGAAATAGTTGCTTCAAGCGCCGTAGTACATACGCTGCGGCGCGGCGGGCGAGCAGCCAGCGCGAAACGAGCATTGGCGCCTACAAACCTAACAGGGATACTTCACGCATTGCGCAATGCGTGTTGTATCCCTATTAGGTTTGCAGGCGCTAGTTCGCCGCCGCTCTGCTTTGTGTTAGGCTCTAATATTTAATCTCGTGAAGTCAGCGTTTTGCAACTCATGACTTTGAAATGTTTGCACACTCTGTATGGCTTATTCTCATTTAATTGATGAAAATAATATGTAGTAAAGGAAAATGTTATGTGCGTTCTGTAAATATTAAGGTGATTCCGTACAAACTTATAAAGATTTACAAAGCACACGAATTTCTACACAATTTCTTGTAGCCTTTTATAGCCGATGGCGAAAAAGCAACAACCAGGCGATAAAGTGTAAAGCCCGGCGATAGAAACTGTAGCCCGGCTGTATAATTTTTATCGCTTCGTGCAGCCCGGCCGTATGATTTTTTCCACTTTCTACAGCCAGCTATATGATTTTCTATCGCCTTCTTCAGTCGGCTATAAGAACTCCTATGGTATTTTGAAACGCAGCTCTCATCGCCAATTTTTACCAGGGAAGGGTCACCACACCCGCTGATACCATCTATTAGACAGGACAGGCACATGGACAAATTGATAAAAACACCTATCTTAAGTGAGAAATTGGCGGCCGATACACCGTTTCTGAGAAAAATGATAATGCTAGTTCTTTTTCAAGGAATGCAATCTAGTCTAGTTGGACGTACATTTGTATTTATGCTATAAAAGGATCTATGTTGCACACAAACTCCATAAACATAGTTCCTTTTGGCATAAATACATCTAGTTTAAGGTCACCGTCCATTTTTTTCGTCTCTGCAGGTAAATGAAGTGGTCATGTCCTACGCTTCATGACACGCATAACAGCGTCGTTAAATTTGTATGTGCCTCACATTCATATGTTTTATAATAAACGCGGTTACAAGTTGGACGTCATTTCTGAATTTCTTCATTTCCGCCCAATTAGTTACAGCTGGGAGTTTTAGGAGAGCTGGTTATTAGATTGAATTGCTGAGAAAAATCTGAAGCTCTACTTACAGCGTGTCTACCTTAACCAGACATCGCACTAAGGATTTCGAAAAACTTAAATTCATAATTGGACGCATTTCTGTCAAACGGAACTATGTGCATTATGACGTGAGCCCTGTTATGCATATATTTTTATGGGTATCAGGGCTCATGTCTCAATGCACATAGTTCCGTTTGATAGAAATACGTCCAATCGGACGTCATCGGGAAGCATAAGAATCGGTTCGAGCTAGTTTACTTTTGTGTTTTCTGTTTCATGAATTGAACATCAGTTTTTACGGAAAATGCACCATGCAGATGAAACCTCCATAATCTGCTTATTCGTCAACGTTAATCTTCCGGGTCTTCTCATGCCTTAATTAGTATACTGCACACATATCAGAGTAACACAGCCATCCAGACGGGTCGCCAGTACTTAAACGGATAAATCAAGGGGTAACAGACTTTGAAGATGCCACCTACCTCAATTTGTGATGTCTCAGAAGAAAATTCTTCCCCTCACTAATGCATTTACGAAAAAAAAAAAATGAATGTAACATTTGTTCACATTGCGATATGAAAAATCGTCGCACAATTGAACGTATTTCTGTCAAACGGAACTAAGCGCCAATCTGAGTTCCTTTTGAGGAATTTAGAATGGCGGATAGCGCGTTTTGTCAAACGGAACTAAGCGCCATGGAAAAGCATTGCGAGTGTAGGACGGAACGAGTCCGACGCCCGATTCCGCCGCCAATCCAAGCCCCCCGCTACCTTCCTCCTCCGATGGCGCTTAGTTCCGTTTCACAGAAATACGTCCAATTTTTTGCGACGTTATCCGTGTGAATAATATGGAGATTCATTCACTGCTTGTTGACGAAGCTACTCTGCCTTGCTAATGAGGAATGCCGTCTGGACATTCGAGAGTTGCCTTTCCCTCGTAAAATGTTTATTTCTTCAAAAAGTTATGAATATATGTATTTTTTCTTGAAATTTTCAAGAACTTTAGGTGATATCGAGAACAAAACTTGATTGAAGCAACTTTGAATATTTTAAGCACTGCGGTTTATGTACTGCCATATTTTTGGGCTCTGAAACTTTGTCAAATTTCCTTCGATAAGACATGAACTTTTAGAGAAACGTAAGAATATTTTTTGGGTTAGTTTTTGGGGTAATTACTCGAGTGGTAATTTCAACTGAAGTATCTGAAAATTTTGAGGAAAAACATCTGCATTGTCCTCGAGACTAAGCCTGCTATTGGGGGAAATTCAGCGACGTCTAAATGTTCATCCGGCGGTTTGCTTAATACTAAAATTTAATCTGGATTCTCACACCCTCCCCCCCCCTCTGGTATACACATAAGCTTGAGAAAAAGATGCGGCAATAAGAGGGGAAAAGAAGCGTAGAGAGAGGTACACAAAGAATTTGTATTACGTTGATTTTTTTCTTGAACAACAAGAAAGTTCTATCACACATTGGTCAAAAAGCCTGCAGTAATTCGTCCAGATCTTATGAATGTTATTATGATTTAGTGAAAAGAATGTGGTACTATTTTCTTATGGGGGTAAAACAATTATTGATTCATATCAATCATAATACTATTTTAATTTTAGAACAATTTTGCCATGATTTATTCATTATGAGATGCACTGAAAAATAAATGGATATAAATAATTTATTAATAAATAATTAAATCTTGGCGGCTGTCTATTGAGCATGTTTGCTTGATTTTTGCTCTTCATCAGTATTTTAAATTGTAATGATTCGCAAATTGAAAAATAGGATACAATTTTCTGGGCTTCTACGTAGCTCAAATTGCATAGCCACAAATTGAAGGCACTTTTCGCCCCAAATACGTTTGATGTCGCAAACTAAGGGCAAGTAAGACACTTCACTCCCGAGTCACTGGAGAGTCCTTGGTTTGACGACGACCCCTTATTAATGGTACAACCCCCCGAGGATGCTGAGGTGATGGTGATGTTTTTGCCACTCGGAAGGTAAATGGTCTTGGAGGAACCGGCTTGGACATAGTGGGTCTCATCTGGACGGTTGGCGAACGTTATTTTCGTGGTGCACCCATTCTGGTCACCTTGGCCTTTGACAGTATACTCGTAAGTCGATTGCTTATACTCCGGCGAGGAATTGTAGAAGGTTGATCCAGGCGAAATACTGAAAACCTTCTCGCTGACACCACCCCCGTTTTTGACCAGAGCATCGGATCCCTCGAGCATTCTACAGCCCCCTGTGGAAGGGGAGGAAATGACGATGTTCCTGCCGTCTGGTAAGTCGATGTTCTTCGTCGATCCGGCATTAATGAAGTGTATCGAGCTAGCATCGCCCGTGGAATTGATCTTCGTTGTACAGCCCTTGTTATCGCCGTAGGTTTGGACACTGTAGGCGGACCAAAGAGCAGGGAACTTCTTCGGCGGAGAGTTAGGCAGCAGTAGCTCCGGTGGGTTAGTTCCGGTTTGGAGGGAAGTTCTCAACGAGTTCTGAGCGAGGGTGTCAGTTTGGCTGGCTTTGCTCAGGGTTTCAGACCCCTTATTTATGCTGCAACCCCCGGAGGAAGGAGACGTGACGACCATGGTTCTGCCATCCGGCAGGCTGATGGTTTTCGACGATCCAGCACTGGTGTAGAGTATCGAGTTGGTGCTGTCCGTGGAGTTGATCTCTGTCGTGCAACCCCTTGAGTCTCCATGACTGTGAACAGTGTACGATATACCAGACCGTAGTTGACCAACGGGTGCGTAATTCGAGACTGATGAGGTTGGGGTGATGGTTTGTAGTTGAGCAACTGATGCATAATTCGAGGTTGGGCTGACGGTTTTGAGGGAGTCTCCGAAGGTGCCCGCCCGGGTCAAGGTCTCCGATCCTTTGTCGATGTTGCAGCTTCCCGATGAGGGGGAGCTGATGGTCATGGATTTGCCGTCTGGTAGAGTGATGGTTTTTGAATATCCTGCGGTGACGTAATAAGTTGAGTCGGGGCTACCGGGGGACGTCAGTTTGACTTCGCAGCCTTTGTAGTCGCCGTAGCTGTTGATGCAGTACTCTGCGCTTGACCGGGACCCTGATGGTTGGGCATCGCTCATTATGGATATGCAGATGACTGCAAGGAGCAAAGAGAGAAAACTGCGGATACTCATTGTTGTGCTGTGGTGGTCTTAGATCTGTAACACGGAGAAATTGACAATGTTTCAGTCATTTTTTTAATTATTTTATTTATATTTTAAAAGCAAATTGGAGAGAAAATTGGCACGGTCATATTTAAGGAATAGCGGATGACAGACTGCCTAAGAAGGCACTATAGATTAGGCATTAGGCACAGATAAGGCACAAGTTCCTCGTTAAAAAATACCCCCTGACACCATGACGGTAACAGTCAAGTTTCATACGTTAGTGCGCCTTCAATTACATTTGATACCGTGCAATACTTTCGTGGTGGAATAGTTGCATTGGCGCCTACAAACCTAACAGGGATACTGCATGCATTGCGCAATGAGTGAAGTATCCCTGTTAGGTTTGTAGGTGCCAATGCAACTATTCCACCACAAAAGTATTGCACAGTATCCAATGTAATTGAAGGCGCATTAACGTATGAAAATTGACTATTACCGTCAACCACTGTTTGCCTAGTGGTAACTTCACGCCGACTAAAACATTTTACAGGGTCCAAATTTTCAATGGATACTCATGGTATAATCACCGTGTTTTAACGCACTCTTTCGATGGCTCCTGAGTTTTTTTTTTTGTCTAGAGAGATGGTATTTAAATGAGTCGAAATTCACGATTTTGCTCAGAAAAATGGCAACGTCTCAGCGTGTCAAAATTATCAGAAGGGGAGCATTAGCAGCAATCTAGGCTACTAATTTCACACTCTGATTACAATTTAGGCATCTGTAGCGTTAATTTATCGAGAGGGAAAAATCATCAAAAACAGCCAAAAATTCGCTATTTTCATGCGTGAAATTTTCGCGTCGGGTCAAAAGCATGGAGAGGGTCCAAAACTTCACTAGGGTGTAGTTTATAAACCAATTTTGCCCTCTGTTTAATTTGCAGACCCCTTCGACTTTATTTTTTGGGGAGCGAAAAATTACTGAAAAACAGTAAAAATTCGCTATTTTTGCTTGGATAAATGGCAGCTGCGCGTCCGGTTAATTTTGTCCAATTGACCCCAAATTTCATTTTCCGTGTTTTTGAACATGCTTTAACCGATTTAGGGGGTTACGGCTATAAATTTCCGAAATTCATTTTTTGTGGGCCACCCTAATTGTAGAAGAAGGATCGTTCATAAATTACGTAAAGCACTTTTTCAGCATTTTCGACCCCCTCCCGTTCTTGAAACGCAGCGTCACGCAGGCTCATGCCCCCTCTCCCCTCTCCCCTCTCTCGTTACGTAATTTATGAATGACCCCAATAAATTGTAAAAACTCCTAATTATGACGTTCTTTTTCGTGGTCTAATCCACTCAATTTTGAGAAGTTTCTCCTTTTTGCCTATTTTGCAACATATTGGACGTTGAGTTTTTTACCCCAAATTATCAAAATTAATGCTAAGGCACATGGTACAGAGTGATCAAAATGTCTCTGGAAGTTCGAAAAGGGAGTAATTTCATGAGGTGAGCCGTAGTGCTCAAAACTAAATTATTATGTTTGTTGCTCAATGGCTGAAAGAGGAAATCTAATGTTTATCCGTTTTTTCCGGACGGACGACAGGGCAGGGTATAAATTATCATCGTAACACTTATGTCCCGTGAAAATTTATGCAGAGCACGTCCATTACATTAAAAATTTCGAAATTCGACTGACTAATTGGCATTTGCAGTTTACTTCATATTCTGCCGGTCAAACCTATCCAATCACGAAAGAATTCAATATTCATAGCATATCAAATCAGCCATTGAAAAAAAGCTAATCGCTCCACAAATAACTAGATTTAGGTCTGACAAACATTTTCTACCTCCTCCGATATTGCATTTCATTAACTGTTTGAGACAAATTCAGCACTTAGACAGTTTCTAAATCGCTAGACACAGTTAAATTCATCCAGAGTATACCTATTTGATTCAAATCTACTTTCAGAAACTGATTGCGGTAGACGCACTAGTTGTAAGACATTAAGTTGTAATTTTTTAGCCAACGTACAATAAAAATCCAGGAAACTGGATGTCTCAATATAGAGGAAAAAGCTCATATGAGCATTATCCTCTGTGTTGAAATATCCAGTTTATGTTACTCTAGTTACGACCAACACTATAAGTTATAGTTATAATTATAGTTACGACCATTCAGGAAGGCAACTGCAGACGCTTTTCGTGTCTAATTGGACCCATCTGAGCTCGGTAGCAGAAAGTTCAGGAGGCTGCGCTACACTGAAGACAGGGTTGCACGCGTGAAATGAAAAATATAAAAGATTGGAAATTTCCATGAGATATTTCATGAAATGTCACGAGGCTGTGAAATATTTCATATTTTTCAGGGGCTACAGTATGCAACCCGCACTAAAACGCCCAAGAACAGAAGAAATCCACAATTTACACATTTTGCGAAACATAAAGAGGAACTGGTGTTTTTCAATATATTTCATAAATTTCTGAAATTGCATGCAATATTTCACGTGAAATTTCAAGATTTCATTTTACAAGATAAATTGCAACCCTGACTGAGGATGGGTCCAACTACACCCGAGTTGCTTTCCTGAATGGTCGAAACTGGTGTTGCACCAAACAGCGTATCTCTTTGAGGGAAAATTGTCCTCATGTGAGATGATTTTGTATTGAGATTTCCAGTTATTTCTGGATTTTTAACGCACGTTGGCTAAAAAATTACAACTTACAAATGTACTTGGGTTAAAAAAATAGCAGGAGTTTGACTTGACAAGCATCAAGAATGATAATTTCTCATTTATCTGGTTGAATTTGGCGGTATACTCAACGTATTCACCAATTTTTACATGAAAATTTCATGAAAAAAAAAAGAAAAAAGAAATAGGGGTCCTTGGTCTGTAATTTTGTCTCGTGGTCCACTGTGTCTTACGATAACCTCAGATGCGCAATGTACCGTAGCACCGTGTAGGATGAAAAGAGTTTACCTTAAATTTTATTACTTATATGTCAATCATATTTGAAAAAAATAAACAGTGAAAAAAACTCTCAGAACTATTTTAAACTCAGAAAGTGAAATAAAAGTGATCCCTATTCACTCTTGTTTGCGGCGCTCACATATGCATTGCCATTACTCGTCGATCCATTTCTTTTCTTTTTCCTCTTTCATCGAGGTTTTGCAAGGAAATAATTCGAAGCAACATTTATCTCCTAAATTGGGCATCCAGACTTATTCTTAGTTGTCAAACATCATCAGACTGCAATGCTTGCAATACTTTTCTCATCTGATGCAGGCATAGTTCCTAATTCCTCTCCCTCCCCCTTTCCTCCTCCTTTCCCCCTTTCCTCCCCCTTCCCCCTCTACCCTCCTCGGTACTTCATTCTCTTCACACCAACAATGAATGAATACGGAAATTAATTAAGTCACCAATCATTAAGAACAGATGAGTCGGCTAGTAGGGAAACCACCAATGCCAATTTTTTCTGTTTTGAATTTTTGGTTTTTACAATTCTCTGAGAATTAGAAATTAGGGCGGGTTTA